TACTACATTGTAAAGGGATTTAATGGCTGCCCTAAGCCAGTGGTTCCCAAAATGTGGTCTCTAGACCAGCAGCATCAGCATCATCTGGGAGGTGGTTAGAAATGCAAATTTCAGCCCATCTTAGACCTACCAAATCATAAACACTAAGGCTAGAGCCCAGCAATCTCTGTTTTAACTAGCCCTCTTGGAGATTCTGGTAGCCACTCAAATTTGAGAAATACTTTTTTGAGCCTCTTTTTCATAAATATCTGGTAAACCCTCCTTGAAAAATTGGCTGTTATTAATCAAAGGCATAAAATCTTTCATAGGGTAGCATTCTTACCTAGGGGTGAGAGTGGGTCTGATCAGTCTGAGGATGTATCAGCTAAACACTAGTTGGATGAATAGATACTACATTTTAAAAAGTGTTATGTGGTGGGATGTTCTGGAAAAGATGTTATGGGGTTTTGGAACAGTGTCTCCCAGGTTAGCAGATTCCTAGAGATAGTAAAGACTTACCTATGCCTTTGATAACGTTGATATACAGATCACCTTACCTGAATCTGTATCCTACCTGCATCATTTTACCAGGCTCCCACAGTGCAGACTCTATTCTCCTGCCCTAAATCATCCCAGGACCAGGTACCAGAGCACTATAGACCATCTGTACTGTACAGACTAGAGTCTACTGAAATTATTCAAACTATCCAGTTCTAAACCTGCTCAAGGGCTTATCCTGCCTTGCCCATTTCTTTCCTTGAAAACCATAACCAATGCTTTTGCATATAGTTTTTTCTCACCCCTCTGCCTGCTAGCTAACCATAGTGCATCCCCATGTGTCCCTGTGTAGCATGGCATACACCCTCCTCTTGGAAACTGTAAATAAACTCTTCTTTCAAAGGCTGTCTTTGTGTATGTCATCTTGTCACACTCAATTAAAACAAATCCCATGTACATTTCAAAATAGGAGCCAGATAGAGTTGAGTTCCAGCTGGGTTCTGTCATTTACCCATCATATGAACTTGGGAATACTGCTTATCCTTAGCCGGCTTTAGCATTCTTATCTGTAGAACACAGCAAAAGATTTCTGTATTGTAGGACTACTGTAAGGACTGATGATAATACACATGAAGTGAGTGAGTAATGAAGAAATAGATGTATGATTGATATAAGGTTTAGATATGAGGTGTCTCATAAAAGCTCATGTGTAAGACAATGCAAGAATTTTCAGAGGTAAAAAGATTAGATTAAGAGAGACATAACCTAATCAGTGGATTGATCCACTGATGAATTAACTGGGCTATAACTATAGGCAGCTAGGGTATGAGTAGAGGAAGAAGGTCACTGGGGGTGTTTCTTTGGGTTTATATTTTGTCCTTGGTGAGTGGAAACCTCTCTCTGCTTCCTTGTTGCCATGTCCTGATCTGCTTTTTTCTGCCACACCTTTGCTTCATGGGTCCAGAGTGATGGAACCAGCTCACCATGGACTGAACCTCTGAAACTGTGAGCCAAAATCAACTATTCCTCCTCTACATTGTTCTTGTCAGATCTTTTGGTCACAGTGACATAAAGCTGACTAAAACAACCAAGGAGATAAGACAATCAAGAAATAAAATGTTCCTTTGGCTCAAAAATGAATAATACATAAATAAATACCCATTCAGATATATACATCCTTCCTAATGTTCAATTATAAGCAGCAACAAATCAGGAGACATTTTACATTCTGATGTTTTTGTTCCTTAACTGAAAAACCTTTCCCTCCATATTAAACGATGGCTTCTGTAACTGTTATGGAAATAAAGCCTGATAATTAGTCTTGTAAACAAGAGAATTAAAGGAAGCATACTTTATCACTTTTTCTCTGTTCAAGTGTCACTTTGACATGCTACACCTACCTTCACTAATTACCTGATAAACAAACTTATCAAGGAACGTGGTAGAGAGACCAGAGTTTGAAATTTGAGACCATTCTGGCCTTAAGATAAATATCAGCCTTGTGACCTTCAGTAAATCACTTAATAGTTCCAAACTTTCAGGTTTCTTATCTGTAAAAGGAGATAAGGACATCTACCTAAGAAAGATGTTTAAAAACATCAGATATAATGTAAGTAATGTGTTTCATTAGGAGAAGACCTGGAATTTAAACCCCACTAATCTGAAGGGCCTAGCTAACAAATAACAAAGCCCACCACAGCCCGAAGATTAGAGATTTCATCATTAGCTCTTCTCTCCCTCTTTCTTGCCTCCCCTCTTCTCCTTCTAGTGGCTGGATGAAAACATTTTTCAGGATTTGAATCATTTCCTTCTTTCTCCCTGAAATTAGGGCCCACATGAGATTTTACTGCTTGAAACAGAAGACTCTGCACATCCAATTAATGACCAGATGCATTCATGTCTAGCACAAAAATTCAGCTTGAGCTGTCATCCCAGCCAGTTGGCAGCTTGGGTTGAAGTTGCTGGATTCATTTAACCTAGGACAAATTATCTTACCTACAGGGACAGGGGTAAATGCCCAGGCAAATCCTATCTCAAGATGTGGTTTGACCTATCTAGAAGCCTTCCTTTCTGCCCTCAAGCTGTCCATTTCTGCAGATTCTCTTTCTGGAAGTCTTCCCAACAAATCTAATACTCAGATCTCTGTTTCTCTGGACACTTGCTGCCTTAATGGCTAGGTCTGGGTGCTTTAGGGGCATTCCATAGCCAAGTTTCCAAGGAGTTCACATATTTTCATGCTTGAATCTTGTTGACCAGTCCACAGTCTCTACCGTGGCTTCTTGGTTTTCTCTCACAAGGCTTTGCCCAGAGCCAGGCACTTAAGAAACAAAGAAACCTCAGATGATTTACTGATTGATTCCTATTAAGGCCCAAGATACTCCTGGATGCTCTTTTAAAAAATATTTTTTTTTGTAGTTGTGGATGGACAGCATGCCTTTATTTTATTTGTTTATTTTATTTTTTATTTATTTATTTTTTTATTGTTGGTCATTCAAAACATTACATAGTTCTTAATATATTTCACAGTTTGATTCAAGTGGGTTATGAACTCCCAACTTTACCCCGTATACAGATTGCTGTATCACATCAGTTACCCTTCCATTGATTGA